CCCTGCTTTGTGGAATTAGTTCTTTCTCTACCCCTGGATAAAATCTTATGCACTTTCCATAATTTTTATGGTCACTCTTAGATAATAAAAAGTCTGTTGGTCACATTTCAATAAGGAAAATATCTCATCAAAATGATAAATTTCATTTAAGGTTGAAGATTTTCTCCTCCTCCAGCTAGAGTCTTCTCCAGGGAAGTCCGAGAGGGAAGTATGTGTATGTTGGGGGGAAGAGGGGAGTTGGCTGATTTTCTGTTTCTTCTCTTGCTCTGCTTCTCCCTTTCCTCAGACTGCGGACATCTAAAAGGTCCTCTTGTGATTATTCTACTAATATTAACTACTTAACTGAGACTGTTTTTGTGAAAAGAAATGGTTTTGTTATCTGAGAGTGATCAGAAGAAAATATGTACTTGTTGAAAATTTATTTCTAGAGACAGGGAAAGGACCATCCTGTAAAGGCTAGCTTGAACAGGCAGTGGAGAAAAAGAATGAGATTATTTTTCTGATTGCACCCCCACAATCCCAGTTATTCAAAATAATGATAGAGAGGGGGCCTCTCTGCTTCTCTGGGATTCTTTAAATTATCTATATATGACATTACTGAGTTCACCTAGACATGAAAACAGAGCCAGAATTTCCAAGGGCAAAACCGCTGCTGAGTAATAAGAATAGCCTTTTGGATGATTTTTAAAGATAAAGACTTTTAACAAAGTCTCGGTATTACCGGTTGATGGTGATGACTTTTTTGGCAATGGTGCAAAAAAGCCACAGTTGGTAGGGAGAGTGCTGTTTAACAGGGTAAAATCAGACTCTTCCTCAGTTATGACTGAAGATCTAAGATGATAGATGCCAACTTCTCCTTCATTCCAAAGTGAAGTGCCAGATCACTCATGTAGAACATGCAAAGCATGTGGGCAGTAACTGGTTTTGAGCCTCTTGGTCTCTCATCCACCTTGAAGATAAAAAAAAGAAGGAAAGAAAGAAAGGTTGAAATTAAAGAGACCTGGCTGAGAGTATGGAATTTGGAGGATTTGTTTAGAGAGAGTGTGTATGCTGAGTCCCGCCCCTCTTGTCCCTATGGGATAAGGGTGGGAAGTATGTCCTCTTCACTTCAAGCTGCAGTGTGGGTCCTCAAGGATATCAGACAAGGAATTTGATAAGTGTTCCCCTGAAGTTGGGGAACATGGTGGACTGGAGTCTGACTCACTCCTGAAGTAGCCTATGGTATCAGAGGGAAAACTTGACTTGGGAAGTACCTGCACTTCCTTCAATATGGGTCAGAGGAGTATGCTTTCTGGGGACCCTATAAGGAACCCAAGAAAGAAATGTCCATTGGGGGTCATCTAAAATGGATCTTGCCAAGAGAGATTCTGCCAAGGGTAAGTCATCATCAGCAGAAAGAGGCTGGGTACCATCAAATGTGAAACTTGAGAGGAAGTCCTAAGTGACCTGCTCTTTCCCTGTACCAGTTACCCAGGTTATACGTCTACTGTGTTTTCTTAAATGCAGCACATATGGGAAGAGTTCATCTTGGAAGATTAGAAATTGGGTATTTACAAAAATTGATACTCAGGAAAATGGGGAATAAGAATAATATTATGAAGTAAACTTCCTGTACACACAGTAGATATTTTTTATATTACCAATTGACTCAAGCTAGATTTTATTATGCAAATTAAATGGAAATTTTAGTGATGATCCTGTGAGTTTGTGCTGTGTTAGTTTAGCTATCTCACATACCAAATTGCCGATCTCCAGTTTGTGAACTATATATAAAGCCCAAAAGACTTTTAAACATATGGAAGTGCTTTTATAAATTACCCACCCTTATGTCAGGTTATGAATATTTCTAGACCAAAGTGATTTTTCACATTAAGATGGTGTAGGATTAGGTTTGCCTACATGCAACAGAAACCACAAATCAACAGTGGCTGTTCACATAAGGTTTTGTTCTTTCATTTAAAAAGTCTGGAGGATAGCAGGCCAGGACTGGTATGGAAGTTCCACAAATTGTAGGAGACTCACTCCTTCCAGCTTTCTGCTCTGCCATCCCTTGGGCAGGGCCCTAGATGGCTGCTGGAAACCTGTCATTATGTCCACATTCCATGCAGCAGGAAGAGAAAAATAGAAGGACCTTTCCTGGAGGTTATATAAATTACTTCCACTTATGCCCCATTGTCTGGAACCAGTCACTGGTCATATCTAATTCTAAGGGAGACTAGAAAATGTTGTCTGAAACACCATGTGCCCTGCTAAAATTTGGATGTTACTGATGAAGATGGGAAGTCTAATATCAGGGGATAACATTTGCTTCTAATAGAGGACTCACAGAAGTTAACAGTGGGCTCTGAGGTTGGGCAACTTCTCTTTGATTCTTGGCTCCACCATTTACTAGATTGTAACCTTGGTCAAGAGTCTAAAACTTTCCATGTCTTTATTTTCTCAGGTTTAAAGTGAGAATAGTAGAGTTTTCCTGAGCATTTAATGTGAAGACATTTAGAATGGTGTCTGGCCATGTGCTATTGTTATTACCATAATCCTCATGATTCACTATAACTCACTAAGCTACAGCCAGTATAGCTCTGGGATTTTTTACTGCTCTAGCCCTAGAACCTAGTAGGTTGCCTGGCACTTCATAGATATGGATGGATGAGTGAATGAATGTGTCAGATGCATGAGTTTTGAACGGTGGAACTTGTACTTTCTTGCTGGTTCACTTGAGTGTTACTTAATCCATTTCAGCCTCAATTTTCCCTTCCTGAAAATGAAGATAAACTATGCCAAGTGTTCCTCTTTCCCCCTTCAGATCCATTCTCCATCCTTCTTAACCCTGCTCTGTACCAAGGAGGCCGACCTTTATGGATTACATCAATGAGCTCCCTTACCCTCTGGCTTCCGGTTGGGACTGGCCTGTGGAAGGCACTGATGGGTGATGATAAGTGGGAGGAGAGTTAGCTTGGACATTTGTTCTGGAGGTTTCCTCCCTGCAGGGCCATGGTTTGGCAGTGGCTGTGTGCTATAGACTGAATATTTGTGTGCCCCTAAAATTTAAATGTTGAAATCCTAACCCCCAGTGTGATGGTATTAGGAGGTGGGGCATTTGGAAGCCCTTATGAATAGGATTAGTGCCCTTAAAAAAGAGAGGCCAGAGAGCTCCCTTGCCTCTTCTGCCATGTGAGGACTCAGTGAAAAGATAGCCCCTCACCAGACACTGAATCTGTCAGCCCCTTGATCTTGGACTTAGCTTCCAGAACTGTGAGAAATAAATTTCTGTTGTTTATAAGCCACCCAGTCTATGGTATTTGTAATGGCAGCCCAAATGGACTAAGACGCTGTGTGTCTGTTCTGAAAGCCACAACTATCAAGTAGCCCTCTCTTTATAGCTGTAGTTCTTTCTGGATTCCAGTAACTGTGCCTACACTATGGCTCCCCACTATTGCTGTCCTCAGGGTGCTTCCACATTGTTGATTTTCTGAATGTTGGGCCACACTTTTATAAATAGATCCTTCATTAAACTCTCCTCAGTTCCCTATTTGATGGTTTTTTCCTTCTGCAACCATGATTGATACGCAGCATTCATAGGGTTGCTTTGAGTATTCAGTGGAATAATGCATATGAAGTGTTTAATGCAGTGTCTGACACAGAATAAGCACTCAATAAACTTAAGATCCACTAATGCTATTATTATCTGTTTCCTTTTACTCCTCATTATTTCATGTTTGGCAATATCTTTGTTTCACATAATTTTCAAAGGTGTTGATTGATTTATTGAGATATTATACTGCTGAAAATGATCAGAGCATATCTAAGGATAATTTTGGGGTCAAGCTTATACCTTAAAACAAAATAGTGCCTAGTAATTTTTTTCCCAAAAGATATGTCTTCTTTTTTGTTTAAGTATATAGTATGAAGCCCAATACAATGCCCCTTTCCATTGACTTGTGAACCTGGGAATCTACGAGGAAGACTGGTTGAGCTAAGAGTATAGGAGTCAGAGCTGGGAAATTGGGCTGGGAGGATGGTGATTCAGGAGGTTGAGGTCTTAGAGAGCAGTGGTCAGAGAAGCCAAGGATCTATAGACACATGGAAAAGACCACGGAATTAGGACCAGAGACTATAGTTAAAATTGCTTTGAGTAGAGTAAATTCCTAGTTATAGCAGAGCCTTATTATACTGACCCAAAGTGGACCAGAGGTGTTTGGCTATAGCTATGATATTCTTGAAGGCTACAAATTTCTAAAGAGTGATTTCTTTTCTTAAAAAACAAAATCTTGTGGGATTAAGGGGATCTGGAGCTTCATTGTTGGGGAATCTTGTCTTCAAGTTCAGGGAAAAGAATGGATTCTCTTGGTGGTAGTGAGTTCTGGTTCTTTGCTGTGAACCTCCGTATTAGTCACCTTCCAGAGTTTTGTAGGGAGAAAATGTTGAATCCTCAGCATCCATTTTGTTCCTAAGATCCCCTGGATGCTACCAATGATGCTTCTGCAATTGCTACCAATGATGCTTCTGCAACTGGTTTGATTATGTCTTACAATCTGCACATTTTCTTCGGGGTAATAATTAGTTGATAATTTATTGAGTTATCCTCTGTGATAGAGAATGGATAATGATGATGATGATGACAGCGATGATGATGATGATGATGGTATCTGAAGCCTTATGTGATTTACATAGTGATTACTACGGACATTTTCTTACTTAGGAAAGTTAAAATACACTAACTTTGAGAAGGAAATAGAAAGCAGAGAGAGTATTTATTTGAATGCAGCACTCTTCATTTCACAGAAACAACCAATTTGATTTTTATTTTCCAACAACACGTAATAAGGAATTGCCATTTTTACATGTTTATGGTGAAATAGTTGACTGCTACGAGATATTACTTATTTTTTTAATGTCAGTGGAGTCAACAATTAAAATAAGATGTACTTCAACAGAAATATATTTTAGTAACTGACCATTTTGGCAATTTATTTTTTTATATGTGGCTTCTATTTTTCCAGATTTGGATATCAGAAACACATGAACAAATGGCACAAGTTTATTTAAACAAAGAATTGGCTGAAGTAAAGAGCAAGACTTTATTGAATGAGGAAACAATGAGCTCTGGGATTATTGAAAGGTATTCTTAATCCTTCTCTTTGCTTACAGAACATGCACATGCAGGAAAGGATTTATATAAGTATTGAAGAGGTATGGTGGCCCCAGCTACACATTACAGGAACACATCAAGCACAATAACACATCTCATGCTTCCTTGCTTTCTGTTCATGCCATTCTCATTGTTCGGAATTCCCTTTCTCTCAGTCGTTTGTCAATCAGCACTACTCTTTCTGGGTCCAGCTAAAATGTCATTTCCTCTTTATATGTTTTTTCTGGTCAGGGTTCTGTCTATCCAGGTTTGAACCCCACCTTCATAATTACCTGTGAAAGTTATTTGGTGTCTATAATCCTCAATTTGTTCACCTGTAAAATGGGAATTATAAAAGTATCTACTTGATAGGGTTGTTCTGAAGTTTAGATGAAATGAAGTATGAAATATGCAAAGAAATATTGCCTGACATGCAGTAAGAATTAGGTAAGCTGTCATTAATCAGAATTATTTGCTCTTATGTTCTTGCCCTCTGAGCATTTGGTTTATGTTCTACATAACAGTTGGACTTACATTATAGTTATTTATATATATGTGTATTTTCCCCGAGATAGAGAGTTCCTTGAGGGTAGAAACTGTTTCTTAGTCATATCTGTAGTCCTGCAACCTGGTGCAGTGCCTTTCCATAGAAGTGTGTGACATAGACTTTGTCTTACATTGTAATTATTGGAAAATGTAATTATTGGAAAACCAAATACTGCAATTTCCATTTTCATATTGGGACATTTTATTTTGCAAAGTACATTAAAGTTGCAAATGTGAAAATCCTTTAAAAAATAATTATCATAAATTCAGCCCAAATTAGTTTTGTATGGCTTTAAAAGTTTATAAAATGTCAGTCTGACATGTTTCTAAAAATTGTTATCTTGTTTCCAGGGACACTGGATTGCCTGCAACAGGCTTTGGAGCTCTCTTTATTAGACACCCACCAGATCGGCGCAAAATGTTAGTAGTCCCTAAACCACTGCAGATTGCACAAAAGTCTTCTTAATGATTCAGGAGGTTTGTTTGCAGGAGTGAAGGGGTGGGGAGTATACCAAGGTCAACAAAATGTCATTTATGTGGCATCTTATGCATTTTTTTCCTTTAACAAAAGTTTTTTTCCATTAATATGCATAGCATTAATAATAATAATAATACAGTCAATCCTCATTATTTGCAGATTCCATATTTCTGAATTCTCCTACTCAATAAAATTTATTTGTAACCCCATATCACTACTTGGGGCCCTGTTGCGGTCATTCACAGACATGCATAGAGGGGTGAAAAATTTGAGCCACTCGAGGCACATGTTCCCAGCTTAGGTTGAACAAGGTGAGGCTCTGCCTTCTCGTTTTCGCTCTCATACAGTAAGCAAATGTCCTTTTCACGGTCTACTTAGTGCCATTTTTTTGTGCTTTTTGTTGGTGATTTTGCTGTTTGAAATGGCTCCCAAGTATAGTGCTAAAGTGCACAAGAAGGCTGTCATGTGCCTTATAGAGAAAATATGTTTGTTACTTAAGCTTCATTCAGGCATGAGTTATAGTGCTGTTGGCTGTAGAGTTCAATGTTAATGAGTCAACAATATATATTAAATAAGGGGTCTTTAAACAGAAACACACATAAAATCAGGTTGTGTATTGATTGGTTGATGAAAATATTGTGACCAGAGGCTCTCAGGAACCTAACCCAGTATTTCCTCTAGGAGCAATGGTTCAGTATTCACAATGACTTTATAGAATATTACTATGAATAATGAGAATTGACTGTATAGCAAGAGAGTGCTATTTTTTTACTGATAAAAGAAATAAATTTATTTTGGGGGCAGTATGACTTGTTATTACAGAAAAGAAATTTCTTTTCCACTCATCCTTCTGAAGAAGAGAAACTTGCATAATTTCTGTACTGACATACAGATAAGTGATGTGAAAATATAGGTACTTACAAGCATGACAAAATTCTAAGTGCAGTTATGCGCCGCATAGTAACGTTTCAATCAATGATGGACCACATATCTGTTGGTGGTCCCAAGATGAGTACCATATCACCTAGGTGTGTAGAGGGCTATACCATCTAAGTTTGTGTAAGTACACTCTATGATGTGCACATAACAACGAAATCGCCTAACGATGCATTTCTCAGAATGTATCCACATCGTTAAGAGACACATAACTCTTTGGATTGTGCATTATAAAGATATGAGTACATGTCACGATCACCAGCAATTTAGATGTTTTTGCTTCCTTTGAGAACTGTCTGGCATTAGAACTAAGCTATTTTGCAGATTCTGCCTTGGGTAGGTTTGGGGAGTGCCCTAAATCATAATATCCTACCCCATTTCACAGTCACCTGTTGCAGTTCTGGCCAGGTGTTCTAACCCTGTGGTTCTAACCCTGATTGCTCCAGCAAGACTGGCCTGGCCTGTGTCCCCCACAGCCTGCTGCAGCACCTCTGAGAGGGCTGGAAGGTTCACAGGGAGTAACCCCAGGATGATCCTTGAGGAGAATGGGTTTCTGGCTTCCATCAAAGTAATGAGCTAAAAACATCCTTCTGGCTCTCTTATCTGCACTGAAATATGGAAGTTCCAGCCAAGACATAGGAAGTCTCCAGAGGCAGACTTTAACAACTGTATCAAAATCCTGAGAAGCTCTCAAGAAAATGATGAGCTAAAGCAGGAGAGGGCTGAGGGGATGGAAGGAGGTGAGAAGGAAGAAGGCAAGAGTTGAAATCTCTAGATGGAGTCTTGGGCCAGTCCAGGATGGGATCTGTGATCACGGTAGGACAGGCTTGGACAGAAGCTGAACAAGTCTTTTATATTGTGTTTGCAACCTTAGATTAAAGATCAAAGTTGGATTTTCTGCATTGACTTTGCTGTTTTCAGTCCAAGGCAGAAAATGAGACACCCAGGGCTCTACATAAGAGAGGATTTGATGCCAACAACCTACCTCCCTGAAGCTCTGATCTCAGCATTGAGATCTGTGATGCCAGCCACAGAGAGCCAGTAGGACCTGGAGTTGTCTCCACCAACTCCCGTTAGAGAAAGAGGTCACACATCAGAGGAACTGGGCAGTATATCTTAAGGGGAAAGAGATGCCAGGGAAAACAAGTGCAGTTAAGCCCAGAGATCTGCAGTAGAGGCAGGCAATTCATATCCCCCACACTCACAGTGAAGACACCAGTTGAGCCTCTCTTTTCAATGGGCCACCTATGTCTCAGGAAAAATACAGATGAAGTCTCAGTTAAACAAAAGGTAATCATGACACGTCTAAAGAACAATAGCATCCTGAAGAATGACAAGATATAGACAGTCTATACCAGAGGAAGCAGACCTGATGGAACAAATGGATCAGGAATTTAAAACCAATGGAACAGAAATTTAAAGCTTTATTACTTAAGGAAATAAATAAAATAGTGGCAAACGTAAGGCAAAATAATAAAAATCAGGTTGACATTAACTTTCCAACAGCAACACTGGATGCAAAAGCTTGACATTAAAGTATTGAAGGAAAGAATTTTGAACCTAGAATTATTCGTATGTGAGGGTCAAATAAAGATATCTGCAGGCATAGAAGGACTGGTTTCAGACTTACTATCCTGCCATGGATAACTATAGAATTGGGCAAAATAAATTAGGCAACTCTTGTCAAGTGTTGGATAGCAAGCAGTCTGGCTCTGTGCTCCTTGAGTTGAGAGTGGGGCATCACATTCTCCCTGACATACTCACGGAGGACACTTTTCCTGGCTGCAGTGCAGGAAGGAGAGCCCACGCAGAGCAGTGTTCTTGTTGAGATAGGAGGCAGGAATAGGAATTTAGACCTTCTGATGTGACTGAAATTTGTAGGGCAGGGTATTGGAGAGAAGAAAATTGTGTGTGGATGTGGGAACAGGTGTCTGCATGATGTTCCCCTCAGGTTCTTGGTCAAGGACCAGGCTCTGTATACACTATCAAAATGGTACATACTCCTGGTTTTAAAAAATCAAATAGAACTCTCCATAGTGTATTCTGAAATTTCATAATGGTGCTCCCGCCTGTGTGGTAGTATTGTGTAGTGGGCTCCGGGGCTACATTACCTGCCTTCAAATCCTGGTCCTGCCACTTACTAGCTGTGTGATCTTGGGCAAGTTTCTTAGCCATTTTGTACCTTAGTTTCTTCATCTGTAAAATGGGCATGATAATTATAAAGGCACCCATGTTATAGGGTTGTTGTGATGATCAAGCAAGTTAACATATGTAAAACAACTAGAACAATAACTGAGGCATACATGGTAAATGCTATGCCAGTCACCTGGGCCAGGCACTTGGTAAACCCTTTCAGTCTAGAAACTCGTATCTATCAGTTCAGAGAAATTAATTTTCTTGTCTTTTCTATTTTATTTTTGTGTTTATTATTTACTTTGCTTTCTGTTTTTTCAAGCTTACTGTTGAGTTCTCTTTTTGTTTTCTGAATCCTTCTGTTTTTATACGATCTTTTTTTTTTTTGGTTTCGTGACTGCAATATCTTCTCTGATCTATTTGGAGGTGTTAATGACAGTTTGTTTTTCTTAAATTTTTTTCTCCGTGCATAGTCTCTGTTTCCTCCAAGATGCTTTTTTTTGGTTTGTTTTTAGTTTGTTTATCTGGTATTTATCTTCCATGCTAGGAGCTTCCCTCAGATGTCTGGTAATCATTTTGGTTTTCTGCTCATGCTCAGAGCCTATGAGCAAGGCTTGTTGACTTACAGCTTTGCTGGTGGGTCTTTTTTTGTGTGACAGAAGCCCTGGTGTCAGTATTTTAGTCTTTCCTAGTAGGCTGGTCAGAGCCCCCAGAGGAAGCTACCCTAATTGCCCACCTGAAGGGTGAAGGCTGGCACCTGTGTTCTTGAAGTGAGCACGGCAATTGGCTAGGATATCAATATTAATCCTTCATTGTGTATGGTCACTGAACCGTGTTGTTGATCAAGGACATTCTCTTTTACCCTCTCCATTGAATAAATTTCTAGCTTCCTGCTGGAGTAGGGGAGGGGCAGTAACCCTGCAGTGGGGTATGGAGGAAGAGCCTAGAGCTCTAACTGCTTCTCAAACAGCTCCCCCTCAATCATCCTTTGCTGATTTAGGGATTCTTCAGCTTTCTGCTGAGTCAGAGACCACTTGTCCATCTTCTCTCTGGCTTCCAAAATTTGTTTCTCTTGTCCCTTTTCCTGTTGTCCTTGTTCTTGTGGGTTTATTATTTTTTAAGTCTCTTTAATGTGGCTTCAGTGGAGCTTTTTGAGGAGGCAAGATGCCATGTGTACAGTTAATCTTAACCCTGAAGTCATCAAGTCTCATCTGAAATGTCACCTCCTCTAGAGGACCTTCCCTTCATACTGGCACCCCCAGCCCCTGTGGTAGGTCCCTTGTGGGTGTTCGTAGCACTGTGTACTTCTTTTATCCTAACACGATTCACCTTGGTTGCAATTACTTGCATTCTTGTTGGTCTTTCTTGCTAAATTCAACGCTCTGAAGAGCAAGACTATTGCAGCTTTATCCCCAGTGCCTAACAGAAAGCCTGACCTATAGCAGATGCACAAAAATTACTTCTTGAATGAATAAATTATTTTTGATGTTGAACAGCAAATTATAATGGAAAAGGGGTATGGCTAATTCCTATCATATTTGATTTAGGGTTTCAAGGCCTGTAGAACCGAAAGTTGTTCTTAATTCTGTTTGTTAAATGCATTAGAAGACGTGGTCTCTTAGAAAATCAGCCTTTATTAGTTTGAATTGCTAGAATTACTTGTTTGTTTTATTTGATTCATGATTATTAGCAAGGAAATGAATACATGAGCACCTTCAACTATCCTCTGCTAATTCCATATGTAATTCGTTCTTTCAGTTAATGTACACTAATTATAGGACGTTCCATATAATAGAATGCTGTGGAGTTTTAGAATCTGCTGTCCTGAATATTAAGTATTCTTTTGCTTCATTCCAACTGTACAGCTGTGGAA